CCACGGGAAGAGTCTCATAGTCCTCAGCACACTGTTCGTAGTCAGGGATGCTGATGTTGCAGGCCCTGCGGAGAGGGGAGAGGAGATCGTGGTACATACTGTGCTGTGGGCTGTGGGCCCATCTGGGTTGCGGTGACCTGGTGTATACCAGACAGAAGACAAGGGAAGCCAAAGCAAATCCGGGGGTACAGCTTGTCCTCAGAGTCTGCACATGGCTACCGTAGCTCGGATCACATTACCCAGCTTTTGGTCTAGGCTTCCTGCCCCTGCAGAGTAGGGTCATTTCTTGTTTTCTGTTTCCAAGCACCTAGCAAGGCCCTGATGGAAAATCACTGCTCAAAAATGCTGAATAAATAAATGAACAAAGGAACTGCTTTCCCCAAACCCCTTCAGCAGAATATAAAGAAAAGGACCACAGTAGGATCCAAAGATCTGGATTTCTATCCAATTTATTTGAACTCCTAAGCTGCAGAATAATGGATAAGAAAACTCTCCTTGGGGAGGACGGTACAGTTCAGTGATAGAGCACAAGCTTAACATGTATGAGGTCCTGGGGTCAAAGCCCAGTACCTCATTTAAAAAAATTAAACAAATAAATAAACATAATTATCCTCCTCAAAAAATATTTTTAATTCAAAATTCAAAAAACACCTTGCAATTGACACATCATTGTAAACTTGAATAAACTGCAATTAAAAAAAAAAACTCCTTGACTTACAAGAATATATCTGGATTACGCAAGTTTGCAAATGTAAAATGCCTAGGGTACCCCCTGCATAAAAAGGGGGGACTGTACAAATTTACTATCGCACTTTTATGAGCAATATTTCCTTTTGGGGGGATTATAACCTCTCAGAGCTAATTTTCTCAGATTAAAAAAAAAAAACATTACCTGATTCTCAGTACTGCTGAAGAATCAGATAACCCTAAGAAAGCATCTGACCCACAGAGGTTACTCAATAAATGTTTGTTGAATGAATGAATAAACAAACAAAGTGAATGCTGCTCCCTGCTACAGACCATCATAATGGCACTGCCTGGAAATCCCAGGCCCACGTTCCATCTGACTCTACACTAACCCTGTGTGTTTCTCTAAACCCCAGTTTAATCATGAATAGAAATGAGGGCAATAACACAAACCTCAAATTGTTACTGAGTCATTAATGAATTGTACCCCAACATTGCAAGATGGAATCATTAAGGAAAACTGGGCAAAGTGTCCAGAGGCCCTTTTCATATACTCTCTTAGAATCACATGGGAATCTACATTACATTTCAAATAAAAAGAATAATTTTTTAAAGAGGTTATTGAGGTTAAGTGAGCTCACTCTCTCAAAAATTGAACACACAGTACAAATAGGACAATGCCCAGCCCATGAGATACACTCACTTAACATTCCCACTGAACCCACTGGTCCCTTCATCTTCAGAGCACAAGGACGGGTCCTCGTGGAAATAGGCCACTGCACCTGAAGCTAAGAAAGTTAATGGTGCCCAATTCCAAGATCCCCTGTCACCACCCTTTTTCTAAATTTCTATTTGAATTCTTTTTCTTTTTATTAAATAGAAACTCCCAATTGCATAGCCTTCACCTGACCAGATATCATGATTGCAGCCCTTCAAAACCTGACCACAGAGATCATGATGGCAGCCCTTCTTGGTGAAACAATATAATGAAAAGCCATTTCCACAAGATCTCTGTGTGAATCTACTAGGGAACTTCATCCTGGACTGAGGAAGAGGACTGGAGGGGGCAATCTCAGGCACGGAGAACTATGGGCCACCTGTCCCACGATGGACTTTAGACTCAACCCTCACCCTCCAGGAACTTCAAAATACACACCGACAGAGTGCTATGGACAAGATTTTTTTTTTAAACAAATCCCTGAATCCCTAGCAGGTCTTTTTTCTACCAAGACACAAATGGCTTATGTGTATAATGTTTCATAAAAGCCCTAAAAAATTATCACCCCAACTTGACACATCAAGAAACAGAGGTAGAGAAGTTTATCTCATTGTACAAGATTAGAAAGAGGCCACGTCAGACACTGTATTTAAATCCAAGCCCTTGCTCCAGTGCTCACAATAGAAGTATGACATACTGCCCCTTTTCTGCTCTCTCCCTGAAATAAATCTCTGAAGAGTCTTTTCTGTGCCACCTGGAATCACAATCACATCAATTTTCCACAAAGAGCTATGTCACCCCTTGGAGGACTTATCAAAATCTAAAGGGTTGGTTTGAGAGGAGAGATTTGCATTTAAGGAAACATGGCTTTAAAGAAACTGAAAAGCACTTATCTAGTCTAAGCCCTCATTGTGCAGAGAAAGAAACAGAGGCTCAGAAGAGATGAGGAAAGGGCCTTATTAACAAATATAGCCCCATTGCAGCACCAAGCCAGCCCTGGGCACTTCTGGAGAAGGATCTGGGAGGCCCAGGAGAATGAGTATTAGAAAAAGGAAAGAGAAGAAGCATACAAGGTCTTGTCTCTACACCACCATACCATGAAATTCCACCAAATTACCTAGTATGGGTGCACCCAATATTAAGGTGGGCTAAACAGGATATAGAAACCTGGAATTCTCAACCATAGTGGAAATTCCAACATTTACTGTGCTTTTTTCCCAGTTCAAGCATCAGCTCAGTGGGCGCTCTGTACCAGGGACTACACGAGGCCTGGAGTTCTCCCAGATACAGATCTCTATTACCATGTGTGCAAACCACATAAAGGCCACCAGAAGAAAAGTGCCCACAGATAAGATGGAATTACTGAAACTGAAAACTGCCAACCAGCATATATTACTAGCAAAAGCGGTGCTGCTAGAAATCGACTCATGGACATAGAAAGCAAACTGTGGTTAGCAGGCAGGAAAGGGAGGATTAACGGATACACATTAATAAATATAAAATAAATCACAAGACCTACTATATAGCACAGGGAACTATATTCAATTTCTTGTAATGAGTTGTACTAAAAACTATCTAAAACAAATGTATATATATATGCATATGTTTATAACTGAATCTCTGCTGTACATCTGAAAATAACATTGTAAATTGACTACACTTCAATAAAAAATAATTTTATATAATAAGTAAAAATAAAAGCAACGCCATTAAGAAAAAATAAAAGAACACTCTAATACCCTTAGCTGTATGTGGTGGAGAATTCTGGTTGCAAGCACCAACTCCGCTGGATCACTCCAGCACTGGCTGTCACTCTTTCTGACCCTCAGAGAGTCACTTGGCTTCACTGAGGTTACTTTTCTTTTCTGTGAAAGGCTACAGTTGCAACTAACGATGTATAGAATCTCATCATTCACAAGCCCAACAAGTAGTGAGGACTTCCCATGGGCCAGGCACTGGACAGATGAAAAGATAGGGTCCCACATATATTCATGGGTAGAAGTTTATGCCATAAAGACATTAATTCTTCCTGTTTTCATAGACAGATTCATTGCAATTCTGATTAGAATTCCTACCAGATATTTCATGGAATGTAACAAGTTAGTTTATGGTCAGGAATAGCCAAGAGACTTCTTTAGAACCACCACTGGGGAGGGGTGGATAGGTCATTCATTTCCACTGTTCTTTCTGAAGTGATGAAAACGTTCTGGAATAATAATGGTTGCACAACAGTGAATATGCTAAAAGCTGCTGAATTGTACCATTTAAATGGATGGACTTCATGGTGTGTGAACTGTATCACAATAACGCTGTTATATGAAAAAATAATTCCTGACAATTATTTTTCTGTTTATACCACTAGTCTGCCCCACAATTTAAGAAAAACAAAAAACCAAAACAAAACAAACTGTGCCAGGAGCTCTTTAGGACTGCAATGTCCCTGGGTCTCCAAGGCCTCTGGTGGTGCTGTTCCTGTTACACTAGCTGGGCTGGGCTAGTTAGAGACTGTAACTATCTTTTTAAGATAGATGGTCTCACGTTTCACCCTGGGAGAGGGAAGGAAAGAGGATGTCACAGCCTCATGCCTTCAGTTCATTTTTAAATGAACCAAGCCTTGCTTTCAACACTGTAAGCCCTCGCACTATAAAAACACGTGACATCAACAAGCACCGCCATCATAACACCTGAAAGTGTTCAAGGTACTTACCTGGGGCAGAAACACTGAGGGAGGAGACCGAAGCTCGCTCAGCACTGACGCTCCCTTTTCCCGACTCCAACTGGAGAAGATGGGCGTTACAGCCTGAGGCTCTCAGCCCAGGGAGCAGAGCCCACGCAGCTGATCTGGTCGTCAGGGAGCTGGAAAGGGAGAGGAGGGCAGCCCCGGGGTCGCGGGGCAGGGAAAGCAGAGTCGGTGGAAACGCGGGCTGCAGCCCCGCTCAGAGGCCAGCCCCAGCCCCAACTCCTGCCCAAGCCGCCCGCCCCCGTCCGGGTCCGCAGACCCGGCCCGCCCGGGACACAGCCCGCCCAGGGGTGGGGACGGGCCGGCGGCCGAGGGGAGGAAGCCCGGGAGGAGAGGAAGCCAGGGAGGAGAGGACTCGCGGGCGGGAGAGGGGAAGGGGACGCCAGCCGCGGACTGAGGGGAGCCCGGCTGGGTGAGAGGCGGCAGGTGCACACCTCGCCCTGGACAGGTGTGCCTGGGGCGCCGGGGCAGGTGGCGTGGGCAGAGGGGTCTGGCCCGAGCAATTCAGCTGGACACAGGCTGACTGGCTCCCTGAGGTCTGTGACACGCGGACCGCCCTCCTGCAGCCGCCTGACCACGTTCTCGGGGGCTCCCCACCTTGCACTTCCACAGCCAGAGGCCCCGGCCCCAGGCAGGAGCCAAAGGCTTACCGGGCTACAGAGCTGAGAAGCCTTTGGGGCAGATCCCCGGCTCGGAGCTGGAGCTTCCAAAGCGCGGTCAGCTGGCACCCACTGCGCATGCGCAGGAAGGCCAGCGATCCTCTCTGTGTTCTGCGAGAGAAGGTGG